ACTGCACAACGCCATAAAAATGGCACGTAAGGTCACTTAAGGCTTTGCAGAACGTCTCGCTTATAATCACTTTGTTTCTTCGGGCCCCTCACTACTCATTGGCCACAACCGAAGATTGTAAGGTGATGGAGCTGTGAAATACCTTCGTAAAGACCTAGGAGTCTGGTGGTCGGAGCGTGCTAAGGATTTAGAAATAGAAGCTGCATCTGGTTCGCCAAACGAATTAGAGCTTCGCAATGAACTCCGATTACTGTAGTAACTCAAACCATCAGTCTCGGATGTCTCTAAAGATTTTGATGACTTTCTGGTTATGGAACTAACTGAGTTATCCACAAAAGTCTAGCGATTGAGGAGTGTTCTAAGGTCGTGGAATGAGTCGACAGTTATTCATATCTTTAAAGATGGTTCACGTCCTTACGTCCGCTTCAGATCGCTTTCAAACCATTAGCTTCCATCTTACTTCGAGGATTGTTCAGAACCCGAGAAAGTTTTACTCGCAAACATTGGGTCGGTTTTCGTTTTGCTAGAGGATTAACGTTAGAACACCGTCATGCTTATCACATGCCAACAATCGTAGTGTTTCTAGACATTAGGGCTGCCTTCAGCTTTTTGAATGGTACTTTTCTCTCGGATTGTCTGCCGACAACGAGCCTGAGACTTTTATAAAGACCTTGGAATTGAAACGTACTTTTACAAGACTTGCAGGACACTGATCCTGCACTCTGTGTAGTGGGCTGATGGAATAGTCGCGAAGTATCTGGGTAGCCGAGTAAGTGCAGCCTCAATCTTTATAAGATATGGCTCAGAATAGAGGCCCGTGGTGATTGTAGGATCCAAACTACGGTTTGGATGTTGAAGAATAGCCTATCGGGGACTTTAGACACGCGCCCTTTCCCGTCGAAATCAGAACAAGTAATCGGGTAACTAGCGGTTCTATAATTCATAATAAATTTAATGTAAATCATTACCTAAACAAATATTATCACCCGGCTATTCAACCAATGATTGTTCAACCAATTAAATCTAAATTACAATAAATAAAGAAGTTGATAGAAGATGAGGAAAAATTACCAATCACAACAAATGAACGCTATTCTATCCTGACTGGATAGACCACACACAACAGGAGGAACAAATCAATATGGCTACCGCCAAGAACAAGTGTCAAGTAAAACAACGCAGATGCAGTTCAGGAAGAAACACAAACTTAGTGAATGCGTAATAAAAACAAAAACTATAACAAAAATACAAATATTAACAATTCAAATGTAATCTGTTATGTTTCGTTATTGCTTGAATGCGATTACTGATGCGTCTTACTCGAACGAACGAAGGATCAATGATTCAGCGACTCGATACACTATTCTGGTCCGTTGTCCCCAACTATGCTAACTCGATCAAAAAGTCTGGGTAAGGTGTAGAAAGTGTATTCTACAGACAAACAGCAGATAACAAGTCAGGCAGGCAGATCAGATCAAGCATACAAGTCAAGCGTATTTATACAAATATTTACAATCGATATTGTCATGGAAGATTTTTGAACATTAATCAACAATTGACTGCTATTTGAACATTTAATCGATAGTTCATCAATTGACCTATTTGTACATTTAATCGATAGTTCATCAATTGACCTATTTGTACATTTAATCGATAGTTCATCAATTGACCTATCTGCACATTTAATCGATAAGTAAATTACAAAATTTGAGTTTTGGGGATCTATCGTCCCCAACACTCCTCCCCTTTTTGGAAGATCCGGAGTTGATATTCGGATTTTAAGTTTTCCAGGTCCATCCTCCCCCACGAAACAGTGTTGGATCCTCATATGCCCACGTTATAATTAACTTGAATTTATTTAAGACATATTTATCGCACTGAACAGAGAATTGACTGAAAGCGACTAAGTCTTGAGGCTGAACGACACTTGATGTGAGGTGCTCGAAGTTTAATTCTTCTGAAATATTGTGACCAAATTTATTTGGAATCTTATTTGTAGATAATGGATCATCAAGGTAATTAGCATCTATCAAAATTGTATTAAGTTTTTGATCATCATTTGATGCATCTGACATATTTTCTGGTAAAAGAGAATCTTGATAATAAGATTTGTCAAAAACATGTGTCGCAGACTGATGAGAACCATTTGAAGAAGTTGTATTCAGTGTACTGCTCGATTTGTTTTCTGTTTCATGGGTGGTTATTGCGACAATTCTATGAGCATTTACCAGGGAGTGTGTTTGTGAACTGGATAAGTCACCGTCTGCACATGCTGTTTTGGGGATAATGGAGTTTGAGTCCATTACCGGGCATGTTTCTGGAATGGAGAGGACTGGACCACTGGGCGAATCTTGAGTGACTGTTGTACCGTTTGAAATACGGTTTATCGGGGATTCATTGGGGCTGCAAGCATTTTCCAGCTCTGTGTGCAGTTGAGAGATCAATCCATCCACTTCCGTTGCATCTCCAAAGCATGAGTGATTTAACAGCTGCGTGCGTAATTTGACTAAAAACTCCAACTGTCTTTCAAATAGCAGCTGTACTCGATCGGAAGGGAGAGTCATTTTTTTATTCAGCACCGGTAATGTAAATTACTGTTTGATTAATGACCAATGTTGCTGAATGACACTGATGACAAATCTGGATGCTGAAGGCTGACTTTGGATTGTTCTTTTTTTACCCCGTCGCCAATTGTTATGTCTCAAAGAGACAGCCCGATTATATGACAGTGACTTATCGATCGGATCAAGGTTTCAGAGACTCGATAGTCTATTCTGGTCCGTTGTCCCCAACTATGCTAACTCGATCAAAAAGTCTGGGTAAGGTGTAGAAAGTGTATTCTACAGACAAACAGCAGATAACAAGTCAGGCAGGCAGATCAGATCAAGCATACAAGTCAAGCGTATTTATACAAATATTTACAATCGATATTGTCATGGAAGATTTTTGAACATTAATCAACAATTGACTGCTATTTGAACATTTAATCGATAGTTCATCAATTGACCTATTTGTACATTTAATCGATAGTTCATCAATTGACCTATTTGTACATTTAATCGATAGTTCATCAATTGACCTATCTGCACATTTAATCGATAAGTAAATTACAAAATTTGAGTTTTGGGGATCTATCGTCCCCAACACTCCTCCCCTTTTTGGAAGATCCGGAGTTGATATTCGGATTTTAAGTTTTCCAGGTCCATCCTCCCCCACGAAACAGTGTTGGATCCTCATATGCCCACGTTATAATTAACTTGAATTTATTTAAGACATATTTATCGCACTGAACAGAGAATTGACTGAAAGCGACTAAGTCTTGAGGCTGAACGACACTTGATGTGAGGTGCTCGAAGTTTAATTCTTCTGAAATATTGTGACCAAATTTATTTGGAATCTTATTTGTAGATAATGGATCATCAAGGTAATTAGCATCTATCAAAATTGTATTAAGTTTTTGATCATCATTTGATGCATCTGACATATTTTCTGGTAAAAGAGAATCTTGATAATAAGATTTGTCAAAAACATGTGTCGCAGACTGATGAGAACCATTTGAAGAAGTTGTATTCAGTGTACTGCTCGATTTGTTTTCTGTTTCATGGGTGGTTATTGCGACAATTCTATGAGCATTTACCAGGGAGTGTGTTTGTGAACTGGATAAGTCACCGTCTGCACATGCTGTTTTGGGGATAATGGAGTTTGAGTCCATTACCGGGCATGTTTCTGGAATGGAGAGGACTGGACCACTGGGCGAATCTTGAGTGACTGTTGTACCGTTTGAAATACGGTTTATCGGGGATTCATTGGGGCTGCAAGCATTTTCCAGCTCTGTGTGCAGTTGAGAGATCAATCCATCCACTTCCGTTGCATCTCCAAAGCATGAGTGATTTAACAGCTGCGTGCGTAATTTGACTAAAAACTCCAACTGTCTTTCAAATAGCAGCTGTACTCGATCGGAAGGGAGAGTCATTTTTTTATTCAGCACCGGTAATGTAAATTACTGTTTGATTAATGACCAATGTTGCTGAATGACACTGATGACAAATCTGGATGCTGAAGGCTGACTTTGGATTGTTCTTTTTTTACCCCGTCGCCAATTGTTATGTCTCAAAGAGACAGCCCGATTATATGACAGTGACTTATCGATCGGATCAAGGTTTCAGAGACTCGATAGTCTATTCTGGTCCGTTGTCCCCAACTATGCTAACTCGATCAAAAAGTCTGGGTAAGGTGTAGAAAGTGTATTCTACAGACAAACAGCAGATAACAAGTCAGGCAGGCAGATCAGATCAAGCATACAAGTCAAGCGTATTTATACAAATATTTACAATCGATATTGTCATGGAAGATTTTTGAACATTAATCAACAATTGACTGCTATTTGAACATTTAATCGATAGTTCATCAATTGACCTATTTGTACATTTAATCGATAGTTCATCAATTGACCTATTTGTACATTTAATCGATAGTTCATCAATTGACCTATCTGCACATTTAATCGATAAGTAAATTACAAAATTTGAGTTTTGGGGATCTATCGTCCCCAACATAATCAAAATACAACAATATACAACTAATGTGATCAATAGGAATAAAGTACAAGTATATACATGGAGGGATTTTCACCAACACACAAAACCTTCAAAATGGATCTTACACCGGCCCCCCAAATCCCTCCATACCACACAAGCTACCTTGATGCCTACTGTCATGGTTCATTATATAACATCACACCATAGGAATGAGTAGGACTTACAACAGTACCCCTACTCGACCTAACTACATCAATAACAACAAAGACTAATCCAAAGCTTTAAGGAGACCTGCTTCACCTGTTCTCTGATGATCAACAATAACAGTCGTGATATAGACCTAATCACTCTTCCCCAAACTCTACCCATGCTTTTGGATGAGGGCCTCACTGACAATTCAATGTTTATCTTCTGATTCGACTGCTGCACAAACTTGCTTAACTCAGAATCTGTCACCACAAAGCTTGACGCACTGTCACTGTAAATCTCCGGAGGTTTCCTTCTTCTTCCAATAAAACGTAATAGAGCCATTAAAAATGAATCAGTAATCAAACTACACATCATTTCAATATGTACTGCCCATGTTTGCAAACAAGTAAACACATATCCATACCTTTTTTCTAATGATCTTCTTACGTGTCCTTGTTCTTTATGACAATGTCTAATTATCATTTCCGTCACTAAGTGTCGACTAGGTAAAATTACTGGATATCTAAAGGCATTTGGGAAATCTGAGTATCTTAGTCGACCTGCAACGCAGAGTAACCCATCAAGCATTATCAACGATAAACCATTCAGATCATCATGGCTTACTACTTTACTGCTGTTTTTAAATTCACTAAGTAATTCTCCATTAGTGATTTAGTATATCCGCAACAATTCGAGATACCAGGTTTCTCACTCTCGCTGTCCAACAAAGAATGGTGTTTCTTTTCACAACCCTCAACGTTACAACGCTTTGTCATCTTACATTCCTTAACTTTATGTCCTTGTCTAAGACAGACGAAACAGGTACCCTTGCTTTTAGTGTGAGATCATCGGTCTTGAACTGTAAGCGCTAAGAACTCTGGACATTTATCAATGGCATGGTCGTAGGAACACATACTGCATTTAGTTTTCATTGTCGAACAATCCTCTTGCTCTGATTGCACGTGACAGTTCGTCTTTACGTTGTGTTCTTTTCTAGAACGGTTTGCTAACCGTTCAAATCTACTACAAGCCATTCTCGCACGCGATGCGATAAACTGAGTGAGTTCGTGAAACGTCGGCTCTCTATCATCTTCGATCAATTTATCCACCCAGTCCGCCCACTGGGCTTGCATAGGTTGAGGCAAGAGTTTCACTATTCTTTCCAAGGTAACTAAGGAATTTAGATCAGAAGTATAATTCATCTGTTCCAAGACCATGGCACAGTTTTCCATTTTAATAGCCAAGTTTGATAGTTGGTCCCCGTCAATATACTCAAAATTCACAGCACTGAATAAGTCCTCTAGTGTTTCTCGAGCAATTACGTGAGGCTGTCCGAAAAAACGTTTTAAAATCTCCCTTGCTCTTTTATAGCCAGAGGATGACTCCATCATGACGCAACCTTCAATAGCTGTTTTAGCCTTGCCCTTACAGTAGTGTATCAAATAGAGCAAGCGCTGGCTATCATCCGTGACTCTTGATGCTACATACGTCTCGAATTGCCTTATGAACTTCCAATAACCGTTTGGCTCTCCATCGAAATAACTCAGTTCAACCTTTGGTAGCTCTGGGCCAACAACATGGACTATAGGCAACATGCTCTTTCCTAGTAATTCAGGCCTTTGCTCCTCCTTTAAACTAAGATTTTTTACATCATCTGACATCAAATTAAGACTAGATTCACTGCCCTGATAATTAACCCTATTTAAGTCTGAACCATGACCCTTAAGGACGTCAAAAGGCACTTGCTTGACAATAGGGGATTCTTCGTTAACATCGACGAACTTTGAGCCTGATCTCCTTCGACGATTAACTGGCATTATAAGCGACACTACCAATTATTTCCAGAAAATCCGTGAACGGTTACCAAAGGATTTCGGCCAAGTAATACTTGTTTAGAACTGTAGGATTCAAACTACGGTTTGGATGTTGAAGAATAGCCTATCGGGGACTTTAGACACGCGCCCTTTCCCGTCGAAATCAGAACAAGTAATCGGGTAACTAGCGGTTCTATAATTCATAATAAATTTAATGTAAATCATTACCTAAACAAATATTATCACCCGGCTATTCAACCAATGATTGTTCAACCAATTAAATCTAAATTACAATAAATAAAGAAGTTGATAGAAGATGAGGAAAAATTACCAATCACAACAAATGAACGCTATTCTATCCTGACTGGATAGACCACACACAACAGGAGGAACAAATCAATATGGCTACCGCCAAGAACAAGTGTCAAGTAAAACAACGCAGATGCAGTTCAGGAAGAAACACAAACTTAGTGAATGCGTAATAAAAACAAAAACTATAACAAAAATACAAATATTAACAATTCAAATGTAATCAAAATACAACAATATACAACTAATGTGATCAATAGGAATAAAGTACAAGTATATACATGGAGGGATTTTCACCAACACACAAAACCTTCAAAATGGATCTTACAGTGATCCTGCTGTAACAGTTTTATGACATTCTTCATAAAAGTGAGCGCGATTTCTTTAACGGCAAGAGTTTTTTTCTGGTTCAATGCCCCTTGACTGAACTGATTCTCTCATTATTATTGATAATTATTATTGTTAACTTACTCTTATAAACTAATTTTCATTCATTTTTGCTCTTTTATCATCCTGGCTTTCCACTACACTTAAATTAACTTCTTATACTCGTTTGTACGTTCACTACGCATATATGAATCGTACATATTGATATTTGGTTATCCTTTGCACATAACTGAGACTTTCATGACATCACTTCAAACTATGACTGCACGAATACTTATTCTAACGTCATATCTTGCTGCAATAATAAATTGTTTTTTCTTAATCATTTTCCATTTTAATTTTGTCACGAATTTGACGATATATACATAGCCATTTTTGCTTGTTCTAAGTTCATAAACACGCTTACTAAACTATTTGCGTATTTCACGTCTCCTTTATTTCCGTCCACTTATTTTCTCCCTTTCCTTATTTAAAGTCAATTCAGTATTCTTCTCAACTACACAGAGCATGATTTTTTATTATTCTATTATCATTATTATCTTTTTTCCTTTTTCTCAAATATGACAAATGTAATTCCAACATTATTGAAACTTGTGTATAATTACATTTTTGAATAAACCCGAAGTGATTTCTTCACAACATTATGTATCAATAAGATGTTTGTCAATAGTAATAATACTAATAGCCACCACAACCTAATTGTTGTGATGGGGTGCATTGTATTTGGTGCTCTCAAGTACCGAAGATTTCATATTCATATGAGTAAGTGAAAATAAACGTGTTACCACTTCGTCGTAATCAACCGACGTTTTCGTTTAACCTGCCACACAGAATGGTACACGTGTTTTCTTACGTCTTGACTTATTACGATGACCCCTCAAAACCGCATACGAATAGCCCTTCAAAGCCCTTCGTTGCGAACATCAATACTACATCATCGATAAAAACGTAACTGATGATAGTGTCACCATTTACTACCTTAAACCCACCTATTTTGAAAGGAAACCCTAATGGTGTTGAATTTCTTCCTATATATTTGGACTAAAAGAGATTCACAATTACGATGCCTTCATTGATAATCAAAATTTATGACGAAACTTTGCTGGTATCAAAACATTTACCCGAAACAACGCGCTATGGATGTAGGGTAGGCTTTCTAGAACAGTTTAACGGCCTTTACGCGTAGGATACTCGATACATTTTTGTATCCTCTAGATTTTTTGAGTCAAAGAACAGAACGGAATGTGCTTATTCAATATACATATACGTACGTGCGTACACTGTTTCTGTCTGAAAAAATCCAGAAATGCATTTGTGAAAAACTTCTGCACGCATTCCCATAGTATCCATATGCATGTACACCAGTTTTGTTTTGCACATCACACATCCATCCTTTTTTAAGGGAAGACTCGAAAAAATTATAAACTGATGAACGATACATTGAATCGAAATATTCATTCACATGTTTCATAGTCTTATCACACCAAATAGCTCCCTATATTGAGGAATGAAGACTAGATGCTTCTTGAAATACCAAACTACCGAAAGAACGTTTACGATAGGCAAGATCTTCAAGATTGAACTTCTGGCTGGTCACAGCCTTAGGTCACCACTACCGCACTAGGTCGGAAGTAAGCCTTAGAGATAAATAAATCCCCGGACGAATGGCTTCATAAGTCTTTGAAAGTGTTGCTGACCTCAATAGGTATACTGGACACACTTTACTGAAGGTGCTAGGTGACGCATCCGCAACAAACCACAAGTGCTTACACCATGCTAACGATCCCTTGCAGCTACTAGTCAACTTACAGCAAACGCATCGCCGCATACCGATAACCCGCCGAACATACCTTCGAACTCCTTCATTTATGAGTCTTCACTTGACCGTATTGATATCCTTCTATGAAAAAAGAGTACGGAAAACGGTGTTGTCGAAATCCGGGTATACGGAGGTACAAGAATCAGACCAGGGACTACCTCCTCTATTAATGTCTATGTGTACGTACAACAGCTCTCTTTAAACTGCCCACTCAAGTCACCTGATAATTTCGTGAAATTATGCAGCAGCGGGTGACTCAGTGCTCACGATCGTTGAGATCAGATGCAACGCGGCATTTGGAATTCACCATGACCTCTTCTAAGACACGAAAATCAAATTCTTCTGTCGTTTGCCTTACGGTGACATATATTCAGTGATTTTTGTAACAAAAATAAAAAACCACATTTTTTTCTCTAATTTGTCACACTTTATTTGTAACCACATTTTTATCCAATATCTGTTGTTTTGCTGTATCACTTGTTAAAAAGACGATGATAATTGTTTCGATGAATGATATACACTTCTACTACCGGGTTGTTTAGAATATAGAACACTACCTACGCCGTTTGTTCTTCTGTTTTATTGGCCACCGTTTTGATTGAAGACTATAATAGTATTATAACATCATTATAGACCTTCCGACTCAACGTTGGACTTTTGGCACGGATTACTATTGTATAATACTATTGGACTCCGTCTTCCTCATTACGTCTTTGGTGCAGTCACTTGCAGAGGAACACCTGTCAATCAAGTGAACTCAGTTTGTGGTCGTTGTCCTCACGAGGGAGTTAACAAGTAACATTCATTCTATAGTAACTGTTAGCGTCTGTTTTGTTTAATATACCTTTTGTATTGCTAACGGTATTTTATTACCTTTGTTTTTACTAACGGACAGACATCTAGGTTTCTTAATCAATAATTTGTTTTGGTATATCATTGTTAACCTAGTGTATCAATACATTTTGTGTAAGCTCCTTTTGTTTGGGGACCACCACAAATTTGGTGAGCCCGTAAATTTTTTTTCTCTCGCAACTACTTTTGAGTTCACTTACAAACATTACGGCGTTATTTTACCCTTGGTAGTTTCTAAATTTTCTTATATTCGTAATGTACTCATCCGAAACTAAAGGCATTAGCCAGGATAACATTTCAGCAGAGCTACATGCTCTAAATTTGATAAATGTGCCCCCATTCAGCCGATTAAATCCTCGCATTTGGTTTGCGCTAGTAGAAGTACAATTTCAGCGTCGCTCACAGGCATCTAAATACTCTTTTGTGCTTGGATTACTACCCACTGAAGTTGCATCTGAGGTGTCAGATTTGATGGATAATATTCCTGCACCTAATCTATATGATCAATTGAAGCAGGCAATTATTCAACGTACCTCATTATCTGATGGAAAGAGATTATAGCATTTACTACACGAATGTGAGCTAGGCGACAAATCACCGTCTCAATTATTACGACACATGAGACAATTAGCTGGCCCTTATAAATTTGATGACGCCTTCCTCAAGGAGATTTGGCTACAACGTTTGCCAACAGTAGTTAGTCAAATTCTTTGCGCCTCTAGCCAACCATCAGATTTAGAAAGTCTTGCTAGCATGGCGGATAAAATTTTAGAAGTTACACCCTGTACTACACCTTACGTACAGGCAATATTAGAAACTTCGAACGATAAGCAAACTCCCACCATAGCATCGGTAACTGCTGAACTAGGCGAACTACGAGCACAACATGAACGAACTGTCGCCACTCTTGAAAATAAACTGGATGCATTACAATTATTAATCTCCAACTTCACATCTACAAGACCTCGCTCTAGTTCTCGAGGGAGTAAGAATCGAGATAACTCAAAAGGAAACAAAAACGACGACAACATATGTTGGTACCGTAAAAAATATGGTGACAAAGCTAGGAAATGTGTTACGTCTTGTAAATTTTTCAAGTCATTTTCCTCACCAAAACGTGTCAACCAAACCATGGTAGCGACAAATGTTTCTGGTCGTGCGCCTACTCGTCTTTTCCACGTTCTTGATAAAACTTCAGGGTACAAATTCTTAGTAGATACTGGAGCTGAAGTTAGTGTCATCCCAGTTACCTTAGCCAATAAACCTATTGCTAAGAGTGGAAAATATACCCTAAGGGCAGCTAATAAAACTGAAATAAAGACATTTGGCGAACAATTTCTAACATTAGACTTGGGAATTAGACGTAATTTAACCTGGGTGTTTATTATTGCGGATGTCCGTCACCCTATACTAGGTGCAGATTTTCTAAGTTTCTACAACCTACTAGTTGACGTTAAGAGAAGAAAACTTATTGATTCCTGCACGAACCTTCAAATCCAGGGAATTCAGTCGGACTACCACATACATAGTATTAAAATTGACACCCCAGGGAACGACATATTCGCCACCATTCTATCTAAATTTCCCAAAATAACGAAACCAGACTACAGTGAAAACACTGTCCAACATTCTGTAGTACACCGGATCATCACAAAAGGTCAACCAACTTCGGCACGTCCACGCCGATTACCACCAGACAAACTGAATGTTGCAAAAGCTGAGTTTGATCATATGATGCAGCTAGGTATAA